ATTGAGCTTATCACAAAATGTCAGTAACCTTAATGTATGTCAGGTGTCTTAACCTCTCATTTTAGAAGGAATTTCGTATGCGTAAATCAGGAGTCTCCTACACAGGCACTAGTGCTGTAACTTCTTAGGTACTATTTCTGCCACCCGGTTTTCACAACAAATTACAGTTGCTGGTCGTTTTGGGGAAAATTTCCACAGTTCCTCTGGACAGTCTCAATATGAAAAAAGATACTCCTACAGCCGTACGGTGATGAACCTCTTAGCACCTGACGCCCTTGAAGCTGAGAATTCTTCCCTCTTCACCCTCCAAAGGGGACTTGAGCTTTGGCATCCGAGCTACCTGAGTTGTTTTATGTGTTCTGGGAATGTCCCAGCATGCGTTGTCATGCTATGACCTTCTGTAAACCTCCATTCACTCGTGATGCTGGGGACCCTTTTTTTTTTTTTTTTGAGAATGGGACAGGCCACAGGGGCCTAAGATCAAAACGGCCCCAGGTACAGTGGATGATGGCGAGGGGGTCGGGCAGGTTTCGGGGCTCAGCCTTGCAGCACGTGACAGAAAAGGGCGGACGAGGCCGGGACCCGCAACAGGCGCCAAAGGGCACGCGTCCCTTCCCTTCAGGGCCTGCGCCGGGCCCCGGCCTAGCCAGGCACCTCCGCACCCCTCCGCCCCCGCAGCGCCGCGACCGAGAAGCAGCGCCGGGCCCCGCCGCCCTCCCAGCTGCGCAGACAAGATGGCGGCCGCGCGGCGCTGAGCGGGCCCCCGCGCGTCTCCCTGGCAACAGGGCTCGCCGCCGCTGCGGAAGTCCCGCCCCCGGCGCGTCGCGGTTGCTAGGGAGCGGCGCCGGAAATTGGGTGTCTGGGCGGGGCGCGGAGCCCCTCCCGTGGCAGGTGAGCGTGGGGGCGCGGGTTGTGTCGTGACGCAAGGGCGCGCGCCGAGCTCCAACCGCCCTCCGTCGGGAGGAGGCGCGTGGACTTCCCCCCCACCCCCCCCGGGCTATCGCGACAGCTGGAGATCCCTGTGGGATCGATCGCTGCCTCTCTTGGGAGATGGGGGGTGGGAAGACGACGGTCTGGGCCAGGCTCCCCGTGCAGGCCCGCTCTCGGAGGGCGCCTGGAAGGGCCGGGGGCAACGCCAGCCGCGTCGGGCGGCTGTCGCGACAGGGCGCGACGCGCGGCGGGTGGGGCGTCCCCGCAGCCGTTTCCCGCGGGGCAGCCTGCCTGGTTCGCTCTGCGGCTCCTGTCTCCCGGGCGTTCGGGGGCGCGCCGTGGCGGGCCCTCCCCGGCTCCGCTGGTGGCACAACCGCGCCGGCCCAGCTGGGTTTTCCAGTAATAAACTTAATAACGAGCCACAATTACGTTTTCAACTGCTAGGAGCAAACAGATATTGCCAGACACCAGCACCACTTAACGCTTGTGTTACAGTGTGGAAAGATGGCCTGCCGTTTAGCGTGAGTCACTTCTGTAGCAGCGGCGATGATGGCTGGGATGCTTTTGGATCTCGCCATCGCCTCGTGAGTTTGTGCTAGCACAGGAGGCCCTCGCCTTGGATTAGGCTGCTGCTGGGCTTCCTTGTATTTATTTTCTGCCCCTGGGACCAGTCTGGGCAGTAAAGGCAGCGTTTTGGGGAAGCATCAGGCCGCCTGTGCCTATTTTGTATACTTCTTGTCTCCCAAATAAGAGGTCTGGTGCTCTTAGAAAGATTTGACTTACTGTACTGTTTACCCTACTGTATGCAGGCTAGGGCTGTGTTAGGCCACTCTTCTTTGATGTTTACCAAAGCTAAGGATCTCAGCTGACGCAAAGTTCGAATTCGTGGTTATCTCGTGCAATCTCATCAGGTTATATAGAATACCTAATTGCAGATCAGAGGATTCCTGTAGAAAATTACATTGCGTTCAAATAGTACTATTGAAAATGACAGAGGTTTTGATACAGCTTAATATGTTATTTTTTATGAGTCTTTGTTTGTGGGTTTCAGTAATCAAATTACACAAAATCAGATGATTTTATTTACAGGCCAGTTAAACATAATCTGAAATGATCAAACTGTCTGCATAAACCAAGAACTGGTTTTCAGTCTGGTATTGTTACGCTATCCTTTAATCCTCTTGTAATGGGATGGATCTACAAGGCCTCAAGTTCCCAAAACAGGAAAAGAATAACACTCTTGTAATTTTTCTTTTTATTTGTGGTAGAACTTATCTTCAGTTTTTAGCTTTGGTTTAGTTTTAACTTGCATTCCTGCGGGTGAGTCTTCTGCTGAATTGTCTCTGGCTTCTGCAGTCAGGCAGTGCAGCCTCTGGGAGTAAGACAGCACGAGTCATGGAGCAGTCCCACTTGCTACCACAGAATCCACTTGCTGGATAAGTACAGGCAATCTTTCAGGGTTCCTTGCCATAGGATGTGTAGCATGTGTCGAAATCTCTTCATAAAAAATCATATAGAAGGGATGTTGTGACAGCTGTTGCATCCCAGGGTAGAAATGAAGTTGCAGCATTAGAAATGTTGGCAAAGTAGCCCTGCTTGTGGCAATGCACCCGGTCTCTTAATCTTTGCTGGGCTGCAGCTACGTGCTTCTGTAAGGGTGGAGGCAGAGGCAGCTGCATTTGTTTGGTGCAGTGTTTCTGAAAGAACAAGCCCTGAGGGCAGTTTGTAGCTTAGGTACTAATGATGCTGGAGTGAGACACACTTGGGAAGTAGGAAGAGAGATCAGGGAGTCAGGTAACAGAGAAAGGGGTATAGCCTTGGGCTTGGATGTTGATAAACCTAATGGGGTAGCTTGGAGATGTGGAGGACACGTTTTAAGGGCTCTTGCAAAGTTTATATTGTGTTCCGTTAATGCTATTGTTGCATTTAACACACTTCCTTTTGAAGGGACAATTCCCTTCCAAGCTGACTAATCCCTGAACTTTTAAAACCACAACAAGATGATGTGTGGTACTAGTGAGTCACTGACTGTGAATCATACATACTTCAGCACAAATAAATGAATCCCTTTGTTTCATTTATTTTTGTTTTGGTAGTATCTGGAAGGCCCACAGAAAGATCATGACCTTGTAGAACTAGGTGTTGTATAAGCACACGCAAGAAGACAGAGTCTGAGCCTTTATATATTCTACCTGTCCAGTTAAGCTTGATTTCAACTTGTTTTACCAACGTGAATATAAATAAATGTGTCTAAAACTCTTTAAAGTTGAAGTCTAATAGTAAACATTTCTGCCTTGTGGAAATTGGCAGTTTAAATAAGCTAGGAAGGAAAAGGTGGGAGCACTATGTAGTGGGCTATGCTTCCCAGGAAGAGAGCAACTGTAGGGGTGTTAGCTCGCTGGCAAAGGTACATCTCCATATCTAGTCCCGGAAATTGAAGACTTCTTGAATTCCAGTCCAATATCATTGTTGCAGAAATTGTATTAACTACATTCATTATTTATTTGCATTAATTACAGTACCACATTAGTAAAGGTGATTTGAAGTTTTAATTGACTTTTCAATGGAAAATTATATGTAGAGGGAGCAGTAGATGGTGGTATGTGTGTGTGTATAACTCTGCTTTCCTACTCCTTTGCATGGCGGTTTTTGTTCTTGGGAGAGGCATGTGCCAAATAATCTGATTTTGGCTCAGAGAGATTTTCTTCTGAATTAGCACTTCTCTGCAGCTGATTTCTGTGAAACATAACTATGAAAATTCCCTAGGCTGCAATTGTAAAACTGATTTGTGAATTGAACTGCAGAAAGACTAAACAGCGAAGTTGAAACTGCTTATGAGAGCTGTCTACCCTTGACTTTATCAGTTATTATCGTTCGCTCATGAATATATGATAGCTTGCTTAATAGTTGTATATTAATCAGGCCTTGATCCTGGGAGGCTAGTCTTCACCGCTTGCTTAGAGACAGGGTGAATATGTTGTTCGTTGTAGTATGGTATTCTGTCCACATCAACTGGGCTGTGGGCTTTTGGCTCTAGACTACGTATGCACAAAGGAAGTTGGGCTTCAATTCATGTTTATTTGCCCCCATCTTCATTGGTATTACGTTAATGCATGATATGAGACGCTGTGTGAAGGGGATCTCACCAAACAGCCCTTGTAAAGGGGAGTGCCAGCAGTTGAGTGCCTGCTGCTGTCAGAGAGCTTCAGCCTGCTCTTCAGAGGGGTAGTAATTGTGGGTGCTGGGCTTGTCCTCACTCCTCCTTCAGTACATTTGTTGTGCATTCCCAGTTTGCTAGTTTTGGCTGCCTTTCTCAAACAAAAAGGGTAAGGATGAAACACAGTGTGTCAGAGGATTGACAAAAGTAACTTGAGCCCCCCAGAACAAGACATCAGTAAACTGGAGTGCATTGAGCAGAGGGTTATCGGGATGGTCAGGGAGTTGAAGCACTTGTCTGGTGAAGAAAAGCTGGGGCAACTATGTTTCTTTAGCCTGGAGAAGGTGTGGCTCTGAGGTCACCTAGTATCAGCCTGCCTGTACCTATGAGGAGGTTATCAAAAAGACAGACCCAAGCTCTTTAGCATAATGAGGGGTGGGAAGATGAGACACAACAGGCATAAGTTGAAAGAAGAGAAGTTCAAGAATATATGGTAAAAAAACCCTTTTCCCCATGAGGCCAGTCAAGCAGTAAGATGGGATGCCCAGTGAAGTTGTGCTGTCTCCATCTTTGGAGACCTCGTAGACAACCCTGCATTGAGCAGAAGGCTGGATGCAGGACCTCCTGAGGTGCCTTCCAGCCAGGGTGATCAGTGATCCTAATAAAGAAGGCTGATCTGGACAAGTGGGAGATCTAATGTAGAAAGTGACACCTAGGTGCCATGAATTGAAATGCAGCTTGTAAGCACTGCTCTAACAACCTGAGGTTTGGGGAAATCCTGCTGTCAAGGTTTTAATGATATCAGCTTATCCATATCCCCCCCAGCTAGAGCAGAAGGCAAAACCATGGCTGCATGAAATACAGAGAAGACAGCACAAAACTGGTAACGTGATTTTGTTTCCCTTCCTCACAGTATAGCAAATCGTGATTCTTGATAGAGCGTGTAAGGGATTTCTCTTGAAATTGTGTTCTTCTACAGTCACTAAGTGATCCATATGAACCCTCCTGCTTCAAGCCAAAGCGAAAAAGTATATACGTGTAAGTCTTGGTTAGAAATAATTAAATGTCTGTGCTCTATGCTCGGTTCTGTAAACTTTACCCAGTAAGTGTACGGTACTGATTTCTGTCATTAGCTTATTTAAGGGGAGACATGAGTTGTGTGCTCATTCATAAAAGGTGGATTGGTTGGGGGGGTGTGAAAGGTCCTTGTAACTAGTGTCCTTCTTTGCAGTTGTCCCGCTGACAAATGCCAGGTTTCAGTCTGAACCTAAGACGTTATGTTCCTTGATTTTGAAATTAATTTACTACTTCTATCTTACTTATGCTAAAGTGTTTTCTAGATGCCAGTTTTCTTCTGCTTTGACTTCCCTGATTTGTAGTCTCCCCTGTCTTCAACTTCACATCTTTAATCTTTACTAACAGGTTGGTTCTGCTCTAGGATAATGGCAGGAAAAGTAAAATGGGTAACTGACATAGAAAAATCTGTTCTAATAAACAACTTTGAAAAAAGAGGCTGGATTCAGGTGGCAGAAAATGAAGACTGGAATTTTTATTGGTAAGAACATTAAAAATACCATTTTCTGAATTTGTGAAGCATTTTAATATCTTCTGTTAATACCATTAATAATATAACAAAATGCATACTGAAAAATGAAAGATGCAGAAGTAATAATTGATTTACTGCAGTGCTCCTAAGAGTGTAACATTATTTCATTGCTTCTGTAATTTCTTAGGCTGTTGCTGGTCTTCTCTTTGGATTTGCATTGGTAGATTCCTGTATCTGTGCAGGTCTGCTAAAGTCATTGGGGTTCCTCAGGGTAGAAGATCCCATCTGCACGGATCCATTCCCATGCTACTGATCTCATGTATCTTTGAAGTTCGCCAAAGGTTTTGTCAGGGAGTAGAAAGTCAGTGACCTAGCAAGATATTGATCACTTCTGGGAATAGCAATTGTAAAAAGCCCAGGGGAAAGGCTGTGCTCAGTGGTTTTTGTTTTGAAATGTGAAACCTGATTTTATTTGATTTTTTTTTTTTTTTGATATGCAGTAAGCAGAATTTTGTAACCCTACCCTGTTACTGGAGTCCAGGCTCCTGTTATAAAAACCTTGAGAACTGTACTTCCCTTCTCCTTCATGATAATGATTTACATGCCAATTTATTCAGCATTTCAATACTGAGAGTGAATGTGAAATTAAATCAAGGTAATGGTGAAAGGAGGAGAGCAAGAAATCTAGTTGCTTATTTGGCATTTGTCTAATATAAAACTGTGAAATGCTGTCCTAGAATGCAGTACTCTGTTAATTGGCAGAAACAATACTCTTTAAGTAAACTGAACAATTTATATTGTCCCTTTCAAATACTGCAGAATGGCGGTTTATGCTGCCAGAAGTACCCTTTGTGAACCACTTATTTAAATGGGTAGGAATCTAGTAATCTGCTCATGCTTTTGGAATGCGGTTGGGGGGAGTCAGGGAACGGGGCACTTGGGGAACCTGTTGTGTGACTGGTTGTTTTGTTTTGGTTTGGGTTTTTTTTTCTTCCTGAAATGATAACTTATCAGATTGGTGCATTCAAAAAATATTCTTAAATTTCCAATGTGAGACATCTAATACAGAAAATGTTTCATATCTATGGCCTTGCTCTTCTGTGAAAAATGAAGTAGATAACTGATTTGACGATTTTGTCACTGTAGCCCTCTGATCTGATGTTTATGGGTGTTTTTAGCAAGATATATGCTTGAAGTTCTTTACAATCCAAATAGCAAGGTAGTCAGTAAGAGGTTGTTTCTGTGGCTTAAGAAGAAAGCTGAGTTTCCTCAGAGGGTGAAATAACAGATTTAGAAAGACGCTTCTGTAGCACTTGGGGGCGCATCAGTCATTTTTAGGCCCTGCTGAGGGTTCACCTGACTATCAACAAGCCAGAGTCCAGTAGGGCCAAGTTGTCATCTTCCTTTCCTCACTTTCTGTGCCAGTTTCAGTAGTAGTAGAGGGATTGCTTAAACCTCCAGTGGGATTTCACTGGTTTTGCTACTAGGAGCTCAGGATATGTTGGATTGTCACTGCAGCAAAATATTATACTATAAAGAGGAATGAGAGAGAGAAAAGATGAAGTGAATGTAACAAAAAAATTTCAACTTTGTCCTTGTGAATCATGTTTCTTGGAAGAAGTCATTTGGTGTCTGTCTTTGCTTTCAGGATGAGTGTACAAACAATCAGAAATGTTTTCAGTGTAGAAACTGGTTACCGCCTCTCTGATGACCAAATTGTCAATCATTTCCCAAACCACTATGAGCTGACCAGAAAAGATTTGATGGTAAAGAATATCAAGCGATACAGGAAAGAACTTGAGAAAGAAGGAAGTCCTCTTGCAGAAAAGGATGAAAATGGGAAATATATTTATTTGGGTATGTGGTTCTCATTATCAGCATTAGTCTTTTTTCCTATGTAGTCCGTAACCTGGGTTTTTCCCATGTAGTCAAGAACCTAGCTTTTCTGTGCATAAAGCACTGAACCTCTGAAGTGTTAGAACATTAAAGTGACTATCTTGAAATGCTGTGTCCCTGTCAATTAAATAAAATACAGTTTATTCTAAAATTGTTAGCTGCATTCTGCAAACTTAACAGCCTTCTCTCTCTGTCTTCTCCTCCTTTTCCCTCCCCTCAAATCTGCCATTAGAGTAAAAGGAAACACAAGAATAAGGGAAGTGATAAAAACAGCAGTAGTGAATACTTCATATGCAATACTGTATTTTCAGAGCTTTTCAAAAACCTTGCTTTGAAGGATAATGGCTAATATCTTACAAATCGAGAAGAATAGAGGGGATGCCACTCATTCAGGATCTTTGTTGAAATTAGAGAGAAAGCAGGAATATAGGATTGAACATTTCTGTTTTTCTGTCATATTACCACAGCACTTGGGTCCAATTCCTACACTGTGTACTTGCTAGTATTCAGGGAGAACAAATCCAGTTTGTGTGCATTTAAGTTGTATTTAGACTTAGTTTTGCAAGTAGTAAGGTCCTTAAAGAAAACTGAATTTAACAGTGCAGCATTAGCTGAAGCAATGTTGGATGAAGTGATAATGAAATTATTATTTTTAAATGTAAGGATACAGAAATAGATTTGTAACTAGGCTTTTTGTGGTTGGAGGGGAGTCGGAGCGGGGGGTTGGTTGGTTAGGTTTTTGTTGGTTTTATTTCATTTTAAATTATTTTGAAGAGGGAAAATTGTGAGATTAAGGTACTTTGCAATAAGATTAGTGGTAAAATCAAAGGGCTCTGGGACTGCATGCAAGACAGGGTTGGAGTTTCTTTAATTCAAAAGTGAAAAAACATTATCTGAAGATCTTATACTGGAGCAAAAACTAAAATAAACTTCTACAGAAAGGTTCTGGACAGAAGTGAATGAACAAAGTCTTCAGAGGAGAGATTTGTTGGAAGTTGGAGAACAAGTAATGGCTGCTAGAAAATAAAACAAACAAGCAAACAAAAAAACCCCCCAAATCAAAACCAAACTAGTAATAGATGAGGAATGAGGAGAGTAAAGTTGTTTTGGAGGTCAGAAAGCATTGGAGTGAAACAGAGATGGGGATGTGTTGAGTTGATTTACATTTTGAGAAAGTGAAATAAAAGCACTGTTCATCCGTGTAAGAAAGAAGCAGTTCTGTGTGGATGGAAGTGAAGATAACCTGATAGCAAAAAGGGAGAAATGCTTTTCTTTAGATTTCAGTAAGCATGCTAATACCGATTGTGGGAGCAAATAAGAATGACCAATGGGAGTTACATGGAAATAAGAATTGCCACATCCAAAGGGGAAGCAACATCAACATTTACATTTTTGCATGCACAGAGGGTGATAAGGTAGTTAGTGGAGTGGTAAAAGCCAACACAGGAAATTGAGAAAGTTTGATTAAGTTGGAATGGTATGTATATAATACTCTAATTTCACAGCATATAAACAGAAAAAGAAAATTGGTCCAAATGAATGACAATCTATTAATCTGAAGCTAGCAGCATGCAATATTTTGCAATTGTTTGTTCAAGTAAAAAGTAAAAATTAGAATTTAAACGAGATAAAAAGCAACGTGAGTCTTAATGAAGCTGGATCATGCCAGACTGGAAAACTGAAAGGACAACATTTTTTTTTTTTAGTCTATATGTGTCAATAGCCTTATCAGATATAGTGTCCTTAATTGTGTACCTTTTTTTTTTACCTCCTTAATTCAGATTTTGTTCCTGTTACTTTTATGCTTCCTGCCGATTATAATCTCTTTGTTGAAGAATTCAGAAAAAATCCCTCCAGCACTTGGATTATGAAACCTTGTGGCAAAGCTCAAGGAAAAGGAATATTTCTGATCAATAAACTCTCCCAAATTAAAAAATGGTCTCGAGATAGCAAAACATCTTCGTAAGTTCTTAAAACCCAAACCCTTTATTGTACTTTCTGTAATCAGATGAATTCATCAATATGTTAATTGTCTGATGCTTGGGAAAAGTATTCCATTGTTATTGCTTTGTCATTATATAGTTAGTTTTGCATTTAATCTCAGCTGTTGTCTGACTTCCTCCTTCAAGCAGGTTTTAATATGATTTGTTTTGGTACAAGGAGGTACAAAGAACTGTTCAATTAACTATTCTTTATAAAAATGTTTTCAGTGTTGTTGGGGAAAAATTGCACAAAAATAAATTGTTCTGTTTCATACTATTAAATAACAGGAAGCAGTTTCAATAATTATTTAATATCTACTAGATCACTTTTAAAATTAGTACAAAGTCAGAATGCATTTATATGAAGTAAATACATTATCTATTTGGAGCACAAAATAATACACCTCATGTTGGTGATCTACTTCCAAATGGATGAAACAGGTTAGCAATCTACGTTTTTCTCTGACTAGTAAAAGTTTTGATCACACAACTAATGACAAATTTTTTCCTGTTATAAAGTGACTGGTTGAATATCATGTGAGTCTTTTTTTTTTTTTTTTTTCCCTTCTGACTTAGAATCTGAAGAATGCCACAGTCTGAAAGTTAGCTTTTCACAGTGGTTTGCAATTGCACGCCAAAAATAAATACAAATATTCTAGGAATATAAGACCTTGACTAATGAAGGTAATGTAATATGTACTCTTTGTTTCTCTGAACCATGCCAAGCTCTGAATGCTCTCCAAGGAAAAGACTGACTTGTAGAGCTGCATTCTGAAAGGCTAAGTCAGCTACCCTGTTAACTTCAAAACCGAGTTTAAATGGTTAATGGATCTTGATCATTTGTTTAGTATTTTTAACTATTTTTGGTGTGTAATGCCTGATGCCAAGCGTGTATTATTAACCACTACAACTTTATATATTGTCTTGGCAAAAGGTGCAAGGTTTCAGTCAATCCAAAATTTATAGACTGCTTTTAAAGAAGAAAAAGTCTTATCAGATGATATTTTTGCAGTTGACACTTTCTGAAACATGATTTGTGTTTTCCAGGTTTGTATCTCAGTCTTCCAAAGAAGCCTATGTGATTTCTCTCTATATCAACAATCCATTACTTATTGGTGGAAAGAAATTTGATCTTCGTCTGTATGTTTTAGTATCTACGTATCGTCCACTGAGATGTTACATGTAAGATTGCATGTGTTTGTATTTTGCTTTGAGATAATGTTTAATGTAGTCAAAATAATATTGTGCTTGCACGAAGAAGTTTAACATGTACATGGTATCCTAGGATGCTCTTTTCCTTATTTCTTATTGGGGTTTAACATATTTTAATGACTTTTTCCATTTAAGGTATAAACTTGGATTTTGCCGATTTTGCACAGTAAAATATACACCAAGTACAAGTGAATTGGATAACATGTTTGTACATCTTACAAATGTTGCCATTCAGAAACATGGGGTAAGTGTACTGAGTTCTTAGATGCTCTTTTGTAGCAAGACTGATTTTCTTAAATTTCTCAAATTCTTGGAATTTTCTTAAATTCCAAAAACTTGGAATAACAAAGGTTTTATGTATCATATTCTTGGTCATCTTGTAATTAAAATACTCCAACTTGAACTTACAAATAAATACATTTTAGAAGACTGCAGATCAAAAGTATGCAAGGTAATAAGTTGCAGCTCTGTAATAGACTGTGATAGCTTCAGTATTGACTTGCTGTAGCTGAAAGCAGGAGTTTTCTTCAAGTCTCCCGTCATTTAAATGCTAATATGCTCACTTAGTAATTGATTCTGTGAGCAGCAGAATTAATGAAGCCTGGTTCCTGTGGATTTGTATTTTATAATAGCACTCTAATCTCGCCTTCCTGATCTCCCCTTCCATCTCTCCTGCATAGTTAATTTAGCTTTCCTATTTCCAGCACTTATTCATCAGAGTACTTTCCAACTTTTTTCTATGTTTCCCCCGGTTTCGTCCCCACCTTCCTTCTCTGGGTAAGGAAGGGAACGTGCAGTTGCACGCTTGGAGATAAATGTTTGCTGCCTGGCCAGCTGGTGGCTTCCTCTTGAACGGACAGAGTGCTGCCTGCAAAACAGTTCTGTGCTGTAATTTGCCATTGACATTCGTAAAACATGTGGGAACCTGATAGCTTCAACAGTGCTTCCCTGTGTCAAATTAGGCTGAAATTCACCAGTGGGAGGAAAGGCTAGTGGGTCAGGGGTGACATAAACAGATGGGCATACACTATCACTACCCAAGCCTTGTTTCTCCAGGGAATCCACTTGATTATGATGATTTTTGCGTTTTTAGCAGATGTCTGTGATTTATGAACCATGCCTCTGTTACAGTAATTAAAACTCTATTGTCGCACTTCCTAATTTCATAGGTTTTGTTTTAAGAGTATGGAAAATAAATGTGTGTGTAAGTACTTGCATGCATACACTCATGCATATATATTCATACTTATATACACATACACTCACACACAAGTTACATATAATGTATCTTAAACTGCAACCTTGCTAAATGTGCCCTTGTCTATTTATTGCTCTGTAAGATGTGGAGCATGGCAGAACTGTTTTTATCTGGATATTCCTGTAACAACAATGTGAATTATAAATGTCACGGTGGTAGTTATAAACCAGGGTAAGTGTCAAAATGTGGCATTTCTCAGTACTACACACATTTTTTGGCACAGGTGCTGATTTGTGAAGTGCTCCAAACACAGTATGGTTTGACAGGTCACACTGAGAATTAGCTGTGGTGAAAGGAGATCCCATACAACTTAGAGCATAAATCATGGTGCTGTTGCCAGTAGCAGTGAAGGGGTGATGCATGTGGTATGTTGCCTATCCCGTTATTGTGCATCCCTTCATCTTCTCTACCAGTTGAATAATGGCCTTCAAGATTTCTTCCAAATAAAAGTAGAAGTGAAAGTAGTGGTGAGGTCACACTGAGAGAAGAAAGGACAATAGAAATGGGTATAGAAGTAGCAGCTTAAAAATATGGGGCCATTACTAAAGAATTTGAAAAACTTTTTATAAATTCTGAGCCACTAATATCCATTGAGTTTTGCAGAAAGAAGTGAGAGAAGTTTAATGTAAAGCCACTCTATCCATCCTCTCTGTCCTGTTTTAAACATGTCTGTAATTTTGGAGGCACTTAGGCTGTACAGTTTTAGAAGAACCCAATTTGAACTGTCAGGTAATTTATCAAAATTATGCTTAGGCCTGGAAAAACTCTTTAAGTTCTAGCTGTTAATCTCTACTCTAAGCCCTACATGAAATGTAGAGTTCCAGTGTGTTTGTATCCTACAAGCTCATGGAAAAACATCCCTAATTTGAAAAGTGTACAAGTCAATACTGGGGAGAGGGAAAGGGTAAAATGAAGAAAGGAGGATAAGTCAGTATACCCAACGTAATGTTTGTGCTAGAAAGTACTGTTCTAAGTCATTATTCACAGCATATGTAATACAAACAAAACAACAGTAATTCTTGTACTTAATTATTTTCAGTTAGTAATCTTCTATGTAGCCTGCAATATTCTACTTTGTTGTAATATTTTTTAATTAAACAGCTGTGATTGCATAAAGCTCTACCCAGTTGCAATCTATTTTGATTCGAGTACTTGTTCTGAAATGCAAAGAGGGTTGATACTTTGATCTCTGTTCCCTTTCTGGAATCTGGTCTCAAGACATTTCTTCATGCAGCAAGTCCTGAAAACCATGTTTCAGATCTTTATTTGTACAATCCAGTTTTCCATATTTACTAAGGGGGGAGCTATAGAAAAAGCCTAAAAATAGGTAGTGGCTCCTCTGGCCTTGTTTTAGAGGATGACAGATTTCATTCCTTTGAGAACTTTTTTCTGCTCTGTGCATTCTATGTTTTATAATTTAGCAGGCATACAATCATTAATTCTTAGAAATGCTCTGAGGAGAACCTTTATAACGGGACAAAACATTTGTCCTGAGAGTTATTCAATGGCAGAATCTGTGTCTTTCCATCAGTATGAATACTCTCAGTTTGCTTGTCTTTGCATTTAAAGAGAATATAGTGCAGATCCTTGACAGCCCCTGAGAAGACAAATATAAGGTAACCCCCTTTTTTCTTCTGTTCTGTTTCAGTAGCCGTTAGTGTTTTTTCTATATTGAAATACAGGATTACTGCAAAAATAATTCAGGTGTCATTTCACTGTCTTCCTGAACGTAACTGTTGTCAGTAGGACCACTAAAAAGATACTGTGTTTGCCTTTTGGGAAACAGACAAGTTGCATTTTAAATGAATAAACACAGACAAGCATTTTCAAGTGCTGCATTTTAAAAAAGCTAACTTCAGTGAAATTTAACTATTGCTCACTTAATTATTTCTGCCTTATTCCCAGAGGAGGAAAAAGTTCAATTCTTTCCTTTCACATTTTAAAACTTATATTTCAAATCATAAATTATGTTTTACTATAAAACTGTCAAACTACCAGTTGGGTTTTTTTCTTCTAAGAAAGATTTATTACTTGATTTGCAATGTGTGATATAAACATACACAGCTATAATAAAAACAGTTGTTTATATAGAGGGCAGTTCAAAGTAAAGCTGAAGTCTTCATAAAGCTGTAAAATACAGTAAGAACAATTTGCTGAGTTTGTTTTTAGAGCAATACTTGTATGTAAGTGTAAGTGGGCTTTTTATGTGAATGAATCAAAACTGCTGAACAGTTTCAAAATCTTAGACTGAATTAACTCCTTAACTCCTCAGGATGATTACAATCATATCCATGGAGGCAAATGGACAGTGAGTAACTTACGCCTGTATCTGGAGAGCACCCGTGGAAAGGAAGTCACAAACAAATTATTTGATGAAATTCACTGGATAATTGTGCAGTCACTGAAGGCTGTTGCGGTGAGTACTGTTCCTGGAATGCTGCCAGCGACAGCATTACGGCTGCAGGCTTCTCAGAACCATGAAAGTGAGTTTGCCATCAAAACCCCTAAAATCTCTTTCCTGCTATTTGAGTGATGGTGTTGATACTGATTTCTCCAGTTCTATTATCTCTTGATTTCTCTGAGCTGAGTGAACTTGAATCTTGGGTGGGTAAGTGAGCTATCTGTGCATATTGAAGATGTGAATGAGTCTCTTTCCTTAAGAGCTCTGAACTATTTGATATGACTTGAAACTGCCCTTGTGAATAGTATTAAGCTCTGCCAAGGTGTGTGACGTCATTTCAGCAATAACAAATGTGTCAAAGAAAAAATATCTCTGGAGGACAATTTATCAAAGAAAATGTAAGGCGATTAGTTCAGCAGTTACATAACTTACTTTCACCTCCTTTATACATGAGTCACATAGCTATCGTGAACTCGTATTAAAAAAAAAAAGAAAAAGTAGTAACCAATCCTCTGCTTGAGTGACTTTCTAGTGTTTGGGTAATATCCCATGATTACATTAGAGAGCTGGTATCACTCTGTTGGTCAGCTGGGGTAACTGAAGGGCTCACCGGTGCCAAGGACTGTACTGTTCCTAAGTGCACAGTCCTGTCATTGCTTTTGGCTTGCTCCTGGCACTCTCATGAGTTGAATCAGCTCATTCACCCAACTGACAATTACTGTCTTGCTTTATTGATGGGTTAGTATTCTGCCAGTGTAATAAGCTGAATCACCTCACTGACCGGATGAACACCAGAAGCAGCAGGAGAAGGAGGGACAAGGTCGTGAGGCTGATATCACTGAGAGGTGGGGAAGCGTGGCTCAACTCAGCCTCTGCTGTGCAATCATTTTTGGAACCAGATGTGAGAAGGGATTTAATCCAAATGTTAGCAGAACTTTAAAAGAGAAGAAGTGTTGAGACTTATTGAGTGTTAAATGTTTTGGTTTTCCATCTTTCTGACAATGGCAAATGTAATGGGAGATATTTGTTCCTCCTTCCCCCTTTCACTCTGAAGAACTGAAAAGCTTTCGTTATAAGTCTAGGGGAAAACATCTCACTAACCTGTTACAAAGGTTTCTTTAAAAGATCTGATGAGATCTGCATAGAAGGAAAGTCTTACCATGCATACTGCAAATGTTGAGCAGATGCTAGAAAACTACTGATTCCCTAGAGGATGTGCTTCTAAGCTCAACTTGGTCCTTGGCTTTTGGGTCTTGGCTTTTGGGATCACAGTTGTCTTGAGCTAATTATAATTTTAAAAGGTATCTGGTAATTGTTTGACCTCAAATTTCCGCATAGTTACAGCAGTGTAATAAAACAAATGTCTTGAGTAAGTCTTCTTTTTCTGATTAAAGGATTCATGATTATGTGGAGCTGTGTTACCTAAATTTTAAAACTTCCTGATTTCTCCTGATGCATGCAGGCTTTAAATATTGTTACTACTTTTGCAAAATATGAAGACACTTTTATCTTCATGCTGGAAATATAATGGAAAATTAATGTAACTTAGTACTTGGCGTTAATGCAATCATTAATATTGAGATATTTCAGCATGGAAAAAAGTGGCAAGCCTGAACTTACTAGGTAGTAAGCTTATATTAGCGTTACAACAGTGAAAACTGTTGTAGAAGAGTCATAATGTAGTTGCACGTGATTTCTAGCAAACAAAGTGTGTAATCAAGTTATTTACTGAATTGTTGATTTTAATACATGTTGTTGTCTCTTTTTTAGCCTGTAATGAATAATGATAAACACTGCTTTGAGTGTTATGGATATGACATTATCATTGATGACAAGCTTAAACCATGGCTAATTGAGGTAAAATTACATAAAATACAGGAAAAAAAACCTTCCTTCTCATTTCACAGCATAAAACTAAGTAGATTTCAATGTCGCCTTTCCTCTTTTGAAGTAATATATTTTGTTTCTCAGGTAAGTGGATTAAGAAAAATGTTGGAAAGTAATATAGGCCATGTGATGACCAAGCTACCATGTGCTTTCATTTCCTATTTGTTTGGTGTTTCTATTTGTTTGTAGCTTTCTCTTTTGTTTTTTAAATTTAGTGCATCCATACAATTGGACTTCAAAGGCAGTCTGAATGTTAGCAGACCTATTAGATACTGTATCAGTAGCTGGAAAATTGGTATTGGCTTCACGGAGCATAACATCAAACTTAAGTTTTAAATGATGTCATGGCCTTAATGTTGCAGGTTGAGAGGAAAGAAAAGGGGCACACAAAGGATAATTGGGGTATTTGGAAGGCTTTTTTTTTTTCCCCATAATTTTCTCTTTGGTGTATTAACTTTGGATCTGTATGTTCAACATAAATTTTATCCAGTCCTCTTCCTTCTCAATCTAATCAAAAGTGAAAGATCAAAGGCAAATGGACTTTAGGGAAAAAAAAAAAAATCTGTTTACTGTTCTGATATTACTTCTCCATAATAAATGTGAAACACAAGATATGTTAAACGAACCCCATTTTTAATTAAAACAAGGTGCAATGTAGTGCTTTGAAGAGAGATCACATGTGTTTCTCCAGCTCACAGTTTAACAGGGGACAACTCAGATTAAGAACATAAATAAAAACTCTTTACCTAGAAGAAACCCACAGATTGTGTATATAACAGTTGTTGGAGTGAACCAGGCAAATTGTAAGCACTGAAATTTATGGAGTTTGTATCTGCATAAGCTTAGAAAATTGAACAAAAATCTGTGTCTTGTCTGATTCACCCTGGTGGATCTAGTCTCAACAAAAATCTTCAGGCTGACACTGCAGACACTTAGTGGTGTGGTGCTTTTTTTTTTTTGTTTGTTTTTTTAAATAAAAAGAAAAATGCCCAGTGGGGGATTCCTTCCAGTGTCTGAGGAACTGAAAGATGTGCTTTGAGACGCTGAGTCTTAATTTCCCAAATAGTACATATAGTCATCACACATGCGGTTTGGAGAACTATATACCACTCAAAAAACCTGATGCTGACATTTTTTTTTTCTTTTGTAGGTTAATGCTTCTCCTTCTCTTACCTCCAGTACTGCTAATGACCGCATCTTGAAGTATAACCTTATTAATGACACACTTAACATTGCTGTGCCTAATGGGGAGATTCCAGACTGTAAATGGAATAAATCTCCACCAAAAGAGGTTCTTGGCAATTATGAAGTCTTGTGAGTTTTATCAATGTTCTGTATAAATACAAAAGTTTTTCAGTTACTTCACTTTTTTAACATGTAATGTAGACCACAGAGATAAGGTGAACTTCCTTCTGATGTGCAAAATGGGCACAAAGTACCACTTATTTTTTTGGAGCTGCTATAGAAGTGTTGGAGGTGGCAGTGCATTAAAGCAGAGTTGCCTTGACTCATCTCCAGAGGGAATGTTACTTGTCTGCTAGGCCCCTGCCTGCACCTTCTGAGCTTCCAACAGTTAGCTTTGAGGGATAGAGGCAAAGAGACTTTCATCTATGTGTGTAGAACTTTAATTGTATTGAGTGCAATATATAGATGGTAGTTACATAGACAAAATAGTTATTTGATACAAATTTTCTCTTAGTTCATAGAAATAATGCCTCTTTACTCCTGTAATTCATGGATGTAATAATGATTTGTCAGATATTTTTTAAATTCCCTGATCTGTATGACAGAGATGAAGGAGATGTAGAGATCTTTATATTGGACTGTCTGAAGGATTTATCTAGGATTGATTTGCCTTATGCAGAGGAACATTGATTTAAATTCCATATCAGTGATACAGTTTCTTGTCATTTTTGAGAAAATGTTCAGATAGGTTCTCTAGCACTAGTGGTACAATTGTTCAGTATGTCAGGAACACGGTTATTGTACACAGTTGATCCACTAGATCACACTGATCTTAAATACTCTTCCTATATACTAGTAAAGACAGTTAAATGTAAGTGTTGATTTAAGTTTTAATGAATTTTATATACATGGTAGCTGCAAATACCTATACAATAGTGTAATTAAGTATATGACTGTTCTAGAAAATATTGTACTATAATATTTTGATAATTATAATTATGCATCTGTAGCTAATCTCTGCTTAGAATTTGCGTAGCAGCTGAGAGGTAAGTATATACTGAGGTTATCTGAGGCCATAATGGGCTTAAATATTTAAAGAACTACTACTTGTCACTGTGGTTAAGCGTTACAAAATACATGTCATCAAATGCATTTAATTGAAGCATACTGTTGTTTGTCCAGCTTGTTCTTTCCTTACTCACTCTCTGATTCAACAGTGGAGTTTTTAATACTGAAGCTAAGAATCCCCTGTTTGAAGCAATAGCTTAAGACTCTGTTAAATTGCCAGCAGCCTGATGTTTCTGCTTAACCACAGACCTATGTAGTAAGGAGAAATACAGAAGTACATGGCAAATTTCACAAGAATAAAATTTCACAAACTTAGGATTTTAACCAAAACTGCCAGATGGTTTGTTTCTTTCAAAAAGTAGCTGAAGGTATTTCAGTTGATCTGTATTGTAACATTATGTGGTGGTATGTTTCCTTGAATAATAGCTGCATATCAAACTATGCATGTGTAAACCTGTGTGTAGAACAGCTTATATTGGATTCCAGTGCTAAATATTAAGCAAATTGGAATACAGAGGACCCACTCTTGTTTGTATAGTGAATAGCAGGACAAGGCATTGAACAGGTTATCTTATTTTCAGATATGATGAGGAGATGGCGCAAAGTGATGGGTCTGATCGTGACTTGCGAAGTCGTTCTGGGCAATCCACTGGATTAAAAGGAAATCGTGCAAGAGATTCAGGGAAACCTGTACTAACCACCTGGAAGTGATAACAGAAAAAACAGCTGCACTCTTGGTAGGAAGGTATCACGAACAAAAATGCTGGTTTTGAACTGATTCCTCTAATTTGCTATGTTGCATGTGGGAAATATTAAAAGAGGACAATACAGCCTTTGAAAAGATGTGAAACAAACACTCAAAAACTAGGAACTGTACTAGACATACACTGAATTGATGATTATTACAATAATATACATATATATAGTATGTATGTACATATAATTATTATATATATATACACTTTGTATAAGCTGATATTCTCTCAGTAATGATTAAGAACTTCCTTTATAAAGATGACAATTCAAATTATGCATTCTGAAAGAAGCCCCTTGCTGTTCTGGATAGAATTTATTTCCTATAGTAGTCTGTCCCTAGCTCCCTGTAATAAATGAGCTGTGTATTCTGTAAAAGGGTGGTAGTGCTGAGTGTTCATATTGTCACAATGATGCTTTGGATTCTTGCTAGTAAGAGAAGAGCAACTAGAAAAAATAGCAATACATAGACTTCAGGCTGTCAGTTAATGCAGCTAATGATTTGTGACTAGTATTAAGAAATTGAAAATCAGCTCTTTATATGCTGAGATTGTTGGGGTTTTTTATTTCCTTTAAGGTTTTTGAGCTGCTCACACTTTAAAGGAAGAAAGTTTCATGGAATGAGGGAGTGTTTCAAGTAGTATATTGATGCATTATTTCACTAGCCGTTAGTTTTTATTTCAAGATAATGCATGTCTGTGGAAAAACAGATAGGACAACTACATACTGTAATAAATCTCATTGCTTGAAGCCGATGATAAATCCTTAGTTGCATCAGAATCTCTTTCTGTATTTATGCATGTATATAACTACATTATCTGTATATTTTTTTAAATTTTATGTGCACTATAACAAAAATATTACTGCGTGTGGTGAGCTATTTCTGGTAGCTTTGATAACAAAAGTTGTGATGATTAGCTACCAAAATGTACAGAGCAAAAGTTAAAAATAGGTATTTCAGTCTTCTAACAACATGGCATATAAATAAACTAGTTTGGTCTGTGATTGGCTGTTGCTTCCACTTGCATTTCCACCAGTTATTGGGCAGTTATTTATAAGTGTCAATGTATAGTTCTGGTTGTCTTTATTCTCCTTCCCCTTCCTCCCTGTTTTTTTTTTTTTTTTTTTTGATGGTGAAGTATTGTGGAGAAAAAGATGAAGGGGGCTGGGAGTTGCAAATGTCCACGTAATCATAATACACCCTAATCTGGATGCCACTAGTGCAGTGATACTCAGCCTGCCTGCCGCAGAGGCCACGTGCTTTGCCCTCCTACGTGGCAGGCCAGTGAAGTGTGTGCGATGTAAACCTAACGTCTCCCAAAAGTTTTGAATTACCTGAACATGTAAAACAGACCACCAGCATCACAGAAAATGTCAGTCCTTTTCCTGCTTTTGAAGGGCCTCCTAGAAGAAGGCAGCTGCTTGCAAACTGCAGTCTTTGGGACAGTTGATGCTGATGACTCTCAGTCTGAACACCATCTGGCAAGAGCGTTTTGGGCTGTGGAGGGAGGGCAGATGTTGGCTGGGCTGGCCAGTATCCTTACATAGGATCTGGGATTCATCCCTGCAATATAGAACGAAATACGTAGCCTGAATGAGTCACTCCAAGTGTGATCCTCATCTTGATTAATCTTGTATATGCCATTAAAATAAGGACCAAAATCCAACAGATTCTGTGGTCATCAGACTTCAGTCTTCTCAGTGGCCTCTACAAAAGCATATTCAAGCTGGGTCTGGAAATAAGACTAAGAACAGATGATTACTGCAGGATGATCTAAATTCCAGGTCTCATAGTTTTTGGGGTTGGGTTTTTGTGTTTGGTTTGTTGTTTTTCTTTTTAGTTCCTAAGTGTGAATCTTATATATTTGAACCTTGACATATAAGCTACTCTGAAGTAAATGTGTGGTGAGATATTAAGTGTTGGTTTAATGATGTGATATTTAGTGGGCAGATGTTTTCAGCTTTACCCCCAACTGCCTATTGGGGGTAAAACAGGAAGTAGTGACAGTTTTAGGAACCATGAGACTGTAGTAAATAGTATTTTGTAGTATGGTTATATTTCTTACAGACAGGCAACACAACAAGGATACTCTGGTAGAAGGAAAATGGAGCTTTCTCTCATGTTAATTTCAACTGCTTTTAATTAATTTCTTTATTAGCTTAGACAAAGGACGTTGTTGTAGTCTTGTTCTATTGTAACAGTGGCACTAGCAAGGATGGCTACAATAGAATGATTGCTCCTTCCTTTTATCTTCTTTCTTGTCTGTGTGGCCTACACTGGCTGGACTTTATAGGGAAGAGGTATATTGGGAAATGCAGATTCTGGTGAAAAAGTCAACTTCACACTGTTACATTTTGCATATGTAGAAGTCGTAACATACAAACTCAGCTGCAGTGACTTTCAGTCTCCCTTTTGCAAAAGCTTAATGAGAAAGCAAACCCTGGTCTGGGTTATTAGGATTTGTTGCTGAAGAAGGCTTTGGAGACTTAATTCAGGGGATACCTTTTAGATGTAATTTCACAATGAATAAAAACTGATGGTAGCATCTAAATAAACTTGTTATTTCAAACTTGTTTGTGGGTAGCACTCTGTGTTAGCAATGGTGTCTTTATGGCTAGGCAGCGAGTTGAATCAGGGCCTCCAGAACACAGACATGGACCAGACAGAATAGGAATGGCACCACCTGTAATATTACTAATATTAAATATCCTTATTTAACTGTTGAGGGGTTTTCTAGTGGCTTGGAAAAGGTCAACTCATTTGAGCTTGTACTCTTCTTACTCAATATAATAATGCATCTCTTCCATTCCTGACTTCAGAAAAATTGTCATCATTAAATCAGTGGAAGTCTTACTATCGCTTTCAAAGAATAAGGATTTCTCTCCCAGTGTGTAGCAGATATATTTCATTCACATGTAGTATTTACAGAGCAGTATTTTATATGGAAAATATTTTTGTAGCAGAGCTATCAATTTGGAACAGCAAATCCTTCTGTCTGGCCACTGTAGTATTGGGAAAGCATATTTCAAACACTTGAGGATGAAATGTCTCTGCAAAATATTTAGTAAATTATCATTACTACCTCAGAATCAAAATGTTAAAGCATTACTAATTGGCGGGAGAAAAAAAAAAAGCTCTCATAGGCATCTTTAACTATGTAGTACCTAATCTCAAAACTAGAATTTAGATTTCAAATGTTGATGTCACAAATTTCACAGTTATATCTCCAACCAATGTACTGCTAGTAATTTATCCTGCTGACCCAAACACGAAATCAGTAATGCAATGTTCTTTAAAGAGCAAGAAGTCAAAGAGACTGCAGATACAGTGACCCTCTCTTCCTGATCTCATTCTACTTTCTTTTAAAAACAATAGACTCGTGATTAGATACATCAGACTGCTTTCTCCTCATTTCCTTTTCCAACAGACTTTTTGCAAAGGCTGAAGTTTGAAGGCCTAACTATATTTTCACTTCTAATACATGAAAAACCTACCTATGTATGTAAAGGGAGTTTTAAGGAACAAAACTGAACTAACATGACATTTTAGATGCCTAAGATTGGCTTTCTGATTATCAGTAACAAACAAACCCAAAAAACCCTGCAAGCAAGCAAGAGGTCTTCCTTTTCTATGAAAAATTTAAGGCCTCATTCACATAAGTGAAATGTTAAGAAGCTCAAAATTACAAACCTCCATTGCTACGTAATATCTATTTTTTCTGCATAAGAGCTGTTGAGAAATATGATGGTTCTCTGAAAGAATTTGAATAATGAAAGGGTCATGTTCCGTGTCAGCTGGAATGATAGTTTGCTCTGTGCTTGTTTGCAGACTCAGAAACAGGAGGATGACAAGAAGACAAAAGTAGTCATAGCTAATAGTTCTGGATGAGAAGGAGGAGGGTGGTATGTGGATATCACCCTGTGAGAAGCTTGTTTGTACATGGCCTTGAAAGGTAAAGGTGAAAATCTGGTAAGGAGGAAGACAAACTGTAAATTAAAACTTTAATTGCCTACTCAGGGGTAAAATCTTAAACTTTTCACTCCTTTGTTCTTAACTAAATCTATTGCTGCCATAGGACAGAACTACTGGTACAAAGTGGTGTGCAAACTGATAACAGCCTGGGGCATGCTCTGCTATCAGCTGGAACTGAAGGGATTAGGGAGATGTGCACGCCACATGGGGCATGCATCAACTATAGACCTTAAGGGGAATCGACCAAACACATCAATTGACCAAACCTAACGTGTAATAAAAGATGTTAAACCCTGTGTGGATGCTCTCATTCAAAGGTAAGGTAGTAGCTCTTTTTGTGGGAGCCTCATTCTCCAAAAGATTAAAGACTGTTTTACCTCTGACTGAGAGGGTTTAAGTAGGTTTAAATGTGAGTGACTGCAAGCAGACAAGCTCTCAGGTCTGAGTAACTAACCATGGCCCTAGGCCAATCATCCTCCAAACGTATCTAACTGTAGGATAAAGAAACTATTTCGGCTTTCAGTGGAGCAATATAAATCAGAAATAACAGTTCTCAAAAGTTCTGACTTCAACTAGTGTAATAACTTGCCAGGCAGAGCTAAATAAATGTGTGTCTCAGTCCTAAAATACTGTTCTTCATATGCTCAAGTGACCACTGGCATAACGACAGTATTGTATGAAGAATTAAATAGACAAGCTCTAAACAGCTATGGGAATTGTTATAATGACATCAGTGTGGAGGGAGCTTATTGCTAGAGTTGAATAGTTGGGCTTGCTTCCTGGGCACTAACCTTTCTCCCTGTTAATTCTTTGACATGGAAGGAATTAATAAGATTCACACAGAATAGCTTCTTTATATGTCTTTAGGAACTTAATTAGAATAAAAGAAACAGTATTATCCCTAAAGCTACTTTGTTGCCGTTGGCTTTACAATAGAACTTCTGCCTAAAATGTCCCTGTCTCCTGATTCACTTCCTGCTATAAACTTGGCAAAACAATAGACATTTCACAGAAGATATATAGCCCTGCATTTCAGCAGCAGAACATGTCAGGCAGAGCTCATTTATCTGTAGTAAAGGAAGGGCTTTACACTCATTATAAACTAGTGCTGTTTCTGAACTAGTCACTGTTCAGTTTACTTAGGTGGAAAAAACAGAAGTCAACTTAATTTCGTGCCTGCTTTATTAAAATAGCTCACTCAAGCCTTCAAGTCAGTGGGAAGGATTCCGTGCCATCTGGTGCGTAGGTATCAAAATATAACACTGGTGTCCATAGCTAGTTGTGCTAACCTGTAGGGTTCTGTAACAAAAACAAACAAAAACTTTATTCCTATATTCTCTGCAGAAAATAAGTGTGTATAGCTGGGAAAGGCTGACTTTAACCACAGTTTTGTTAAAACTTTAATTATTCAAAGGAAATAGGAACATAAATGAGTATCTTGGAAAGGCTGATTGTTTTTACTGAATAGTAGGAAGTTGTTTGTGTTAGACTGTATTTTTTTCCACTTCTTTTAAGTTGCCATCAAGGCTTAGGCAAGCTTAAAGAAACCCTCCATACTTGAAACAGTCCATAACCAGAACTTTTGCAATTGTTATGATGACATAGAGATATCTTTTCCATTGACAGTCTTCTATACCATAATTATTCTCAAGTTTTGTACCCATTAAAAGCATATCACTGACGTCTGAGATAATCATAGACAGTTGTGAAATAGAAAAGTTTAGACAGTATAAAACATTAAACACGTTAATGTGAAAACAAGGAGATAATATTTCAGACAAGAGCATGTCTTATATGCAAAGAGTTCTTTCCCAGTGAAAGTTGGGCAGTGAAATGGTGAAATTGATTGATTTGAATTTAATTAAATTTAATCTTCTGAAATTCTGTCATTGGTTGGCATATATAATCACTAATGGCACTACATTTGCAATCAAAATATGGTTCATGATTTAAATTTAGATTTAAAGTATAAATAAATAAGTATATATAACACCTGGGCTTTCTTAGCTAGAGAGACATGATCTGAAAAGTATGCTGAAATGTTATTGCAGGAGTCAAGAAACACCAATAAAATTTGCAGAGTGAAGCCAAGAGACAGAATTTTTTTACAGAGAAAGTATTAGCGCTTAAAAGGACACATGGAATTTCTGAGGACAGCAGAAGACACAAGAAGCATATTTAAAAATAGATTTTATTAAAAGTAAAAATAACCGTGGGATACTTATCTAAAATGAGAGAGGAATTTTTTTTTTTTTTTCAGAAACTTCCTGTCCTGTTCCTAACAGTCTAAATCAAATGTTCAGCAGCAGGGCTGCATAGACTGTTAGCCTTTCTTTTAAGAAAAAATATTAAGATAATCATTCCCAGAATGACACATTCTGAATATAACTGGAAATGTTCAGAGAACAACGGAATTTTATTATTTAGGGAAAAAAAAAAAAAAAAAAGACGAATATGTCAAAGTATGTTTTACCATATCAGTAAATTATTTATGGCATCATAATAGTGTCATCACTCTGGGAGGTTGTATGACTGATAATAGGTATAATTAGACCACTAATCTCTCTTAATTCACTACAAGAAAAACTTAGTGTTTAAATATGCATAAAGATAATTTACATTTTATAAATTTAAAAAAATAGTACTTTATTAACCACTAAGGTGTATTTCCCCAAGCAGTTTTTCAAGTGCATGTATTTATTCAGTGCATGTGGCCTCAAGCCTCTATATATTTATACATACATTAAACTGTTACTGTAAGTAATGAAGTCAAATTACTGCACCAGAATGTGTATTAACCCCAATGCAGACAAGTTCTGCTTTTGTATATAGAGGTAAATCACAAGAAGATCAATAGTGTTGATCCAAGAAGTAGACTAAGACAACTCTAATAATGTTGCTTCTGAATTGTTTCAAATTATGCATTTGGAAAGGGGACAAAAACTTTACAATTAAAAACGTATTTTAAAAATTCTGATAGCTGTTGTTGTCTTATTGGCGTTCAAAGGTAGCTAACCATTTTTGATCTAAATGTATCTAAAAGCATAGGAAACATCTTGCAACCAGAAGAGAATATACAGCAGCTTGAAAAAACTATTCCCTAAAGTGGTGCCTCAAGAAACTTCCATATATTAAATTAAAATGTTCACATAAATTGTCTTTTCATTAACTTTTCTATTTAATACTCCTGCCTCTACTTTTTCATCTTTAAAATTATAATTTTGTAGCATTTATAATGATGCTAACAGATTTAAACATCTTTGTAAGTGAAAAGTTGGAAAACATGATTCTTATGTCTCAAGTTGTATTAAAATCTGAATCTACTTGTTAGTACAAAGATACTGTGTAAAATACTAATTACTGATCACCCTTCATTCCCTCAGAAGGCAGAAGCAGTTCAAGTTCCGTTTGAGGAGGACTCCCAAAACAATGCCTTTGCACTATGACATGAGGGCTAAATTTACTGTACCTATATGTGTATATATATATTTTTAAAAAAATATAATATCGAAAATATATATGTGAATACAGTAAATATGTAAATATAGTAACAAAATAAATATAATATAAATATGCACATATTATAATGCATAGAACATATAAACTAATATATACACTATACACACATTATAATGTCTATAACATATATAATAATAATAGTGAATATATAGATAAAATGTATAAACGGTACAGTAGCCTAGCAAAGGCCATGCATGGGAATAGCTGATTTGAAAAATAAGGCACTGTTTTCCTTCTTGTTAAAAGACTCTTAGTTTTCACAACCAGACCGGGGGCCTGAATATACATCTCTTGCTCTATTTACAGTCAATACCCCTGTGCTGGCTTAATATAAGAATGTGAGCCCTGGCTTTCACAGTTGGTAGCATATATGTGATTGGCACTGGGTTTGTGCTCAGTGAAGTGATTTGGGGGGCACAAGGGGATATTAAATCAACTCTGTGTGGAATAGTTGGGGTTTTTTTGTGTCAGTCCACCGCCAGCTGCAGGTTGAACTTCTGTACACCACTGAAATGGCATTCCCTTTCATCACAGTATGAACTTAGTTCTACCAGGGAGTGCTACAGTTTACGCTGAATTCCTGTTCTGTTTCTTCAATCTTTGAACAAATTTGAGCATTATTTGACCATACAAAGAGATGAATGACTGTTTTGATGTTGAGGTTGAAAAAAGTCTAAGTGTTCTGGCAAGGAGGATTTCCAGCTTTGACAATGCTCTAGGCAAAACGGAAGTTTGATTTGTGTCCATACAGAAAGAGCTGTATTTACAATTATATATATCACATGTAATCTCCTGTAAAGAAAGCTGGTTTATGCAAAGCTTCATCTCCTATCAAATGAGACAGACTGCATGTAAAATTGTGATGATAAGCGAGAGAAGAAATGATAAATTTCAAGATTCCTCCTCTCAAATATGAACTTATAACTTTCAAAACAGGAGAGAAGAGAAGTAGATTAGGGAAGGGACAAATCATATTAAATCTTAGAAAGTTTACCAACCTGACAAAATTTTACAGTAATGGTAATTGCAATTAATTCCAATCATTTTTTAAAGGACGTTTCTTCAGAAGGTAAAATCTACCCCAGTGCAATGGTCTCACAGTCCTACTGAGCTAATCCAAATTCCCAGTGATTTTAAAACTCCTTAAGTTAATGAGTCACTCAGTGAAAGAGTACAGGAAGACTTGGCGTCTATGCTGATTATATGCAGACTTGCATAAGAAAACATGGCCAAGAGGAAAGTACTCTTAGGACTGTTTTGCAGTCCTACCCAATGATCCAGAGCTCTCGATGTCCTCAAACCAGGCTGTCCTCTGGGAGAAGGCTGGAGGCAGATCAGTGATGAGAAGGGCAGATGGGAGGGAAATGCTGAAATTAGTGGAGGAGCAGGCAAAGGCTGATGGGACGACATAAGGTTACCGTGATGGCTGCTGCTTGGAACTTAAATAACCCTCTGTCTAAAACAAATAAGTCTGAAAGATAGGCAAGGGCTGGAATAACAGTTCTGCCTGTGATATCACTCAACTACCGCGCACCTCCGCGCACAGAGGTTTAACCACATCGCCAATGTTATTTCAAAGGCAACTCTGCCCTTGAGCCACCCCTGTCTCCCTTGCCGCTGATAGACAAGCCCGCCGAGCCCTGCCCGGTCCCCCCCAGCGAGACGCGGCTCCAGCTGACGGGCAGGAGCCAGAGAAGCGCGGTAAATGCAGCACCGTCATTGCCGCATTGTGGTGTTAGAGGGCACTGCGTTACACGGCGGGATCGCCGCGGGATCGGGAGGGAAAGGAAAGGCTTCACCGCTTTCGGGCGTTAAGAAGTCCCTGTCACTTTTCGGGAATCTATCGGCTCGGTCAAATACCGATTCGGGAAACAAAACCTGCTCGTTCGCGATCCCCCCCCGCCGCGGGAACGGCACACAGACGCAATGTTTTTAATCGCGTCGCGCCCTGCCGCGTTCCGCAGCGTTCCCGTCGGCGGTTTCCGACCACGTACCTCCCTACCTACCTACCCGTAACGCCGCAGCTGCCCTCCCGGCGAGCCGGCGGGGGCGGGCAAGGCTGCCCGGCAGCCGCGGCCGGAGCCCCCTCAGGAGGCGCCCCCCGCGCGGCGCTAACGGCCCCCCGGCGGCCGTTGGCGAGCCCGCGCCGCCTGCCCGCGCGCCCCGCCAGCTACCTTTGCCTCTCTCCCCCTCCCCCCGCCCAAACTTCGCAGCCCCTCCCCTAGGAAGGGGAGGTTAACTGGCAGTCGCGGAGCGCAAATGGGCGGTGGCGGGGCGGGAGCATCTCCTTCGCCCTCGCCCAATCGGGAGGCGGCTGGGCGTCCGCCAATCGGAGGGGCGGGGGAGGCGGGCGGAGGGCAGTCGGTGTGGCGGGGCGCGGGGCGCTGGGGCTTCTCTCGCCTTCCTCCGCGCTCTCTCGCCAGCCCCTTCCCTCCTTCGCTGCCGGCGGGCACGGGAGACGGACAGTTCCCGGCCCTTCAGGTGAGGGCGGCGCCGTCGTTGTCTCGGGCCCTACCCTCAGGGAGAGGTTTGGGAGCGGAGGCCGGGATTTAGATCCTCGTCGGAGCCTTTTTTTTTTTTTTTTTTTTTTTTTTTTTTGGGGGGGTGTGTGTATGGGTGTGTGTGTGTGCGGAATGGCGGGCGGCGGGGTCCCACTAGCGGGAGAGCGGCTGTTTCAGCCGCCGTGCCTGGGCCGGCGCCGCCCGTGGCGGGGGGTCAGGCCGCGCGGGGCGGGCGGCGTGCCGGGAAGGCCCCGCTGGGTGCCGGCGGGGTCGCGGCGGTGAGGCGGGAGGGGAGGGGGGGGGTGTGGGGGGGTGTGAGGGTGCCGGGGCGCGGGGGCGGCGCGGAGAGGAGAGGAGCGCGCGCCGTGGGGAGGGGGCGGCGGTGGGGTGTGGGGGGGTGGGTGGCGTGGGAGTGGCGGGGTGCCGGCGCCGCTTCTCCCGCGGGCGCGGGGAAGGTGAAGCTCTCCTTGCAGGGCGGCTGGCGGGGAAGGGCAGGGCTGGGGCTTGCGGGGGATGACGACACCGGCGGTGGGGAGGCTCGGTTCCTGGAGGAGGGAAGAACTCGCTGCTCGGGGAAGTTTGGTGACCCGCTCCGTGGAGGTGACGGGGCTTTGGGTTGGGGAGGGGAGGAGGACGAGGTAGGAGACCTGGGTGTGAGCGATTGGCGTTTGTTCAGTTGTTTTTTTTTTGTTTTTGTCCTGTCGGATTTGAAATCCCGGCGTCCTGGATTGTGGCAGGTAACGATGCCGATTTGGTGGGAGGAGGTGTTTCTACGGGAGAGAGTGAGGTTTTAAACGGCTTGCAGCCTGCTGAGTACCGGTGTTGACCCAGCTAAGTCAGGCTTCTCGGTCTTGCCTTTGCCTTCTTCTCTCTTGACTTTCCCTTTTTTGGCTAGCGGAAAGAATCTCTGCATCTCCCAAAACCGAAACATCTGTGTGAGAGACCAGAGTCTCTTTATGTGCATCGAGGCTACCTGGTTAGAGAAAGATTGGGTATCTACAGTGTCTGCTTGGCTTGCTGTATTCATCTTTCCCAGCTGCCTGGCTGTCTCTGCTTGGAGTGACTCAGAAGCTGATAGACTCAGCCTTCTAAGCCTTCATCCTTTTGCCCTAACAGTAAGGGAAGCCAGAAAGGTGCGAGTGACATATCCTGTCCTTTGTACGCTGTTTGAAAACTAAATGTAATCTTGTGGTTTTAAATGTTCAGTTTTCTTGGTAGCCATTCTTGATTAAAACTGTAGATTGGTTAAAATAATTTAAAACATGTACACCACTGCTCACATATCCTCTACCTGTTTCAGTAAGTTTGATCATTTGTACATGACTCAGACTGGGATAAAAAATGAGTCTTTGGATATGCTAGACACTTGTTTTTTTGTCGCACTCCCTCATCTCATAACAGACTGCTTGAAAGGTTGCCATAAGACTGTTTTCTCTTGCTACAAGGGGGATTTTCTGCTAATTTGGATTTAATTCCAGAGTTTGTTCAGCCCTTCTCTAAAGAAAATCTTTCCAATACTTTGAAAATGTAAAAACATTAACAGTGTGTTGTTGTCAGTCATAATGAAGAGTGCATTATGTAAGCAACTGAGTTTTCGTTCTGGTTTTAGTGCAACAAAAAGATCATTCTCGTATGTCTGTGATGAGACTAATAGGAAAACATTGCTTCATTGCTTTCTTGGGTGGGGGGGGAGGAGAAGACTTGTATTGCTGCTTAAAGGTGAGAGGTAACTAAAACAGTTTGCCAGCTGTATTTCAGATGGGGGAAAAACTTCTTAATTGTATTTTTAACTATTAAGTTTATTAGCACCGAGAGCTAATGTGCTTGCTCTTTCATACCTGTATCTACCTGAAATTATATTTTGTTAAACTTGCAATTTGCCTTCAAAGATTGTAGAGTTATATTCTGACAATTATGACTGAATCAGCTTAAACAGTAGCATGTGTTTAGAGCATGGGGTGTGTCTAATTAGTACAATGCAGCATCATTTTAGAGATCTCTGATCACACTATACCACAACTTAGGCATGGTAAGTAGGAGAGCAGTTCAGGTGCTACCTCATCCTCTTTAGTGTTAACCTTGGCATGGCTGTTCAGTGTTCAGGTGCTCCAAACTCCCCTTGGTGCATAGTTTACAGTTCTAGAGTCTGTTTCTTTGGCTTGGGGTCTATGTGTTGTACAGTGCCATACTAGAATAAACATTTAAAACTGCTCTGGGGGCTAAACTGCATACCACACATCAAGCAACAATATCAGTGTTAAAAGGAAGCTACATAGCATAATTGTAGTTAGCAATTAAACAGTTTATTAATAGTTGTCAGGCAAAACTGTTTGGGTTTTTTTTTTTTACTCAACGTTTTTTCCCCTCATTTTGGGGAGGGTGTGCTGCAAGTGGATGCGGTAGTTAATATCAGACTGACAGGTGGCATTTATGATTGCTGGGCTTGGTGTTAGCTCTATGAGTCTTTGTGGATGGTCTTAAGTGTTCTTCAACTTTTTTTTTTAACTTTCATAGAAACTGTCATAAGCCTATATTCCACAAGTCATCTCTGTTACTAAAACTTCATTTTTACTTTGTAGTGTGTATTTAATTGTATTTTTCTAATTTTTCTTTTCTATTCCTTTAGTATTTGAAATACTATTATAGTAACATGGTTTTCTGACTGCAGTGATATTATGAGGCAACATTTTGATCTATGAATATGTATAAGTAATACTTTCAGAAAATACCTAGATGATATATTTTTCTAATGGGTAGATGTCTGCTTGCTTTTCTTGTATCGGGGCATTTGAATGTTGGTTTGAAAACCAGTACTGTGAACCTGTTAGTTTTACCAGGCGACATGTTTGGATGATATAGTGTTAAGCATGAGGAGTTTTGTTCTCATGGTCTGTTTATACAGCGTGTGGGTACCTTTTCCTTCTCTAGAGCTGAGTGAGCTACTTGGTTAAAGATGTCCTTATATCAATTCTGTGCTTCCCTGACTGTGGTTAAAATGAACGTAAAGGTTGCTGAGACACAAATTGGTAGCCTGTGAATGCAGGACAAGACATTTCTGTGCTTGTCACAGGAATGGCAAAGGATAAAATGCTTAGTGGTTCTGCTAGTCAATAACTACCTGTGCTTGTATGAATCTGTGGGAGTAACACAAATTAGTTAAAAGGTAGCTTTCTGCTTCTGAGATGGTGCGTGGTTTTCTCAATGTGGGAGTTACAGGTCCTGAAAAAAGTTTCATTTTCTCATACAACAAGCCAGGGAAAACAGCAGATGCAGATCGAAGGGGTTTTTAATAGATTTGTTTAAACATGCATGTAAACCAATACATCGGAGTTGTGTTTTGTTGGTTCTTGGAACCTCTGCTCTTTAAAATAAATTGTAAGATTTAATGACTTGGTGCCTGAGACCTAGAATGAAGTCTCTAATGCTTGAATTGAAGACTGGTCTGTGAGACAACTTTTTTGTAACAGATTATTTAATTCAAATTCTGTCTTAATCCATAAAACTTCAAGAAGTGGTGTTGTTCCTTTCAACTAAACCTAGTGATTTTTGGCTTGACTTAATGTAATGATGAATTGTTCTCAAGGACATGGAAAGGAAGAAAGCAGGAAATAAGTGATGTAACTGTACTGAGCTAAATTGAGCTAAGTATTCTGAGTCTGTGGTTGAATAAAATGGTGTACTTAATGTGAATGTTACCTGCGTAGTTGGTGCTCTGGGGTTGGGAAGGATAACCTGAAGTTGATAGTAAGAAGGCTGTTGTATCCTGGGGTTGGTTCCCAGTCTACAGTCATAATCAAATTTGTAACAAGACTTGAATGTCATTCCTTTATGTGCTATCCTGCAAGGTACCTTGCTTGGCGGAAGGGAACAGTCAAAATTTCTCTAATGGTGTTGATCTAGAATCTGCCTTGATGTGTGTTCCTTGGAGCATGAGTGATTCTGCTTGAGCCACTGTGGACTGGTGTGCATTGGTAGAGTCCTGTGAACCTTGGTGGACAGGATGTGTCAATATTTGAGAAGGTACCCAGCCCTAATTAGTAAATAGGGATAGAACTAGCATGGATATTTTAAAACTGCACAGTAATGAGCTCTGAAGCAAAAAGAAAATGTCTCAAAGGCTTTAAGTGATGTGGTTTGGTTCAACTTTTTAGAATATGCAAATATTTAAAAATGGTTCTGGCTTACACAACATGTTGTAAATATTTTGACAGTGTTGAAGACCTGTATCTTGCATTGTTTGTTTTTGGGCCAATGCATGTTATTAACCCTTTTTGCTTGTGTAGGACTCTGCTTTATGTTAAGAATTAATTCCAATGCATCTACAGACCAAAAATTTTAAACAAGCTTATTTGCCTTATATCATGTACTCTAGGCCAGTGAATAACAAACCAGACTACGATATAACAGCAAAAACGGCGATAAGAACAGTCTGTCAAATCATATTATTAAATATTTGTTTCAAACAGTTTTACTGACACCAAAAAGGCTGGATTTTATGTAATCATTTGAGATAAACTCATAGATGCAACATAGTAGATGCCCTGAGAATG